AAAAAAAAAAAAAAAAAAAAAGCTTAGATTTTCCAAGAATTTAGCTTTTGTCTAACTTCTGAATTATAACATAGTATATAGGTCACACATTTAACCTTCTTAAGTTCCATACATATTCAATGAATACCTATGTACTAAGCACGGAAACTATGTCTTAAAAGATGCTGGAAACAGAACTGTGCAGATCACAAAAAAAGCACATTCTGAAATATGATGTTTTTTAAAATATTATTTTATTGTGTATTTGGTGAAAGTTTATACAGCAAACTAGCCTCACAGTTAACAATTTCTATACATATTGTTCAGTGAGTGACACAGTGGCATTGGTTATATTTTTACAGTGTGTCAACATTCTCATTATTTGCATTCTGCTTGTTCTGTTTCCATTAATCTGGTTTGCCTGTCTCCCAACCCCCTATCTTCTCATCTTTGCTTCAGGGCAAATGGTAACTATTTGGTCCCATATAGATGAATATTTAAGAGTTAAGTATTAACTGATAACATTGTTTATTTTATGAGCCAATCTCTTATTTAGCTGAAATATGACCTCTCGGAGTAGTTTCAATTACAGGTTCACAGGGGATCTCAGGGCCACACCTCAAGGGTTCTTCTAGTAAGTCTGGCTTTTTTTTTTAGGAGTTTTGTACTACATTTTTCTCTCATTCTGTCTTGGACCATCTATTACGTTGGTAGTTGTAGCTGTGCACCATTTAGTGCTTCTGGTCTCAGAAGAGATGAGGTTGTGTTTCATGTGGACAATTAGTCTTGGAGTTTCTTCTTTGAGTCTGTGGTCTCCTTCTTTACCTTTTGCTCCAGATGAGTAGAGACAAATAGCTATATCTTAGAAGTCTGTCCGCAAGCTTTTAAGACCCCAGATATGACTCACCAAACTAGGATGTAGAACATAAACTTTATGAACTATGTTAGGCCAACTGACCAAGTTGTCCCACAAGACTATTTCCCTAAGAATTCAAACCCAGTAAACCCATCCTGTAAGGTATTATAATATGCTGTTTTAAAATTCACATCAAGTAATCCTTCTCCACCATATTTGCAGAACATAGATAAGAAGCTCCCTTAGTCTCTGCTTTGGTAAACATCCTATATATCAAGGAGTGAATTTCAAATATAGCTGACCAGTAAATCCCTGTGTGAGCTCACCTCTCTCCATCATATTCCCTGTGAAAACTACAGTAAAAGTGCTCATCCACAGTCCTGTTCCATCTCTGCCTTGTGAATGTCTCCTGTGTTTTCACCATGTTGTTTTGCCAGGTGAGCTATGAATACCAGCAATTGAAAGAATAATACATTTTGAAATGTTTCTGGCTTTCTTCTCCTCATTTGCAGCCAACCTTACCATAACTAAAACAATACTATCATACCAAGTAAAACACCACAATAAATTTGAAGAGGATGCAGAACAAGGAATATCATTGCTGATGTCAGATGGATCTTGGTCTGAAAGCTAAAAATACCAGAAAGATGTTCACTTGTTTTATTGACTATGCAGAGGCATTTGATTGTGTGAATCATAACAAATTTCAGGTAACACTACAAAGAACGGGAATTCCAGAACATCTATTTGTGCTCATGAGGAACCTGTACATAGACTAGGAGCCTGTCATTTGAACAGAACAAGGGGATACTGCATGGTTTAAAATCAGGAAGGAGGGCATCAGGGTTATATCCTTTCACCACATTTATCCAAACTGTATGCTGAGCAAATAAACCAAGAAGTTGAACTATATTAAGATGAATGTGGCATTGGGATTGGAGGAAGATTTATTAACAACCTGCATATGCAGATGACACAACTTTACTTGCTGAAAGTGAAGATGGCTTGAAACACTTACTGATGAAGATCAAAGACTACAGCTTTCAGTATGGATTTCATCTCAACATAAGGAAAACAAAAATCCTCACAACTAGACCAATAAGCAACATCATGAAAAATGGAGAAAAGATTGAAGTTGCCAAGGATTTCATTTTACTTGGATCCACAATCAATGCCCATGGAAGCAGCAGTCCAGAAATCAAATGGCATTTTGGTTGGGCAAATATGTTGTCAAAAACATCTTTAAAGTGTTAAAAAGTAAAGATGTCACTTTGAAAATTAAGGTGTGCCTGACCCAAGCCATGGTATTTTCAATTGCCTCATATGCATGTAAGAGAGGGACAATGAATAAAAAAAAATAAAAAAAATAAAAAACCAGAAAAATTGATGGATTTTAATTGTGTTGGCGAAGAATATTGAATGTACCATGGACTGCTAGAAGAATGAACAAATCTTTCCTAGAACAAGTACAGCCAGAATGCTGGTTAGAGGCAAGAATGGCCAAAATTTGACTCTCATACTTTGATCATGTTCTTCAGTTTCTGGAAAAGGACATCATGCTTGATATAGTTTTAAGAGTTAAAACTATGCAACTCTTAGAAGAAAAAAAATAGAAGTAAAGTTTCAGTGCCTTGTTGTTGGCAATAGATTCTTAGATATGACACCAAAAGGATAAGCAACAGAGGTAAAATAAACTGGACTTTACCAAAAGTAAAAACGTTTACGCATCAAGAGAAATATCAAGAAAATGAAAAGACAACCTTCAGAATGGGAAAAAAATATTTGAAAATGATATTATCACATCAGGATTTAACATCCAGACTATAAAAAGAACCCCTAAAGGTCAACAAAAAAGACAAACAAAACAATTGAAAAATGGGTAAAGGACTTGAGTAGGCATTTGTCCAAATAAAAACATAATAGAAATGTTTGACCCAGCAATCCCACTAGTAGGAATATATCTTAAAGAGGTAAGACCCAGGACACATATACACATATGCACATCCATGTTCATCACAGCGCTATTTACAGTAGCAAAGAGAAGGAAACAACCTAAGGGTCCATCAACTGAGGAATAGATAATGAAACTATGTTAAATATACACAGTGGACTACCATGTAACATTAAAGAATAATGAAGAATCAGCGAATCAGCTCATAATGTGGATGAACGTGGAGGACATTGTGCTGAGTGAAATCAATCACAAAAGGACAAATACCACATGAGTCCATTATTTAAAAAGTCAAGGAAAGGTTTACACATGGAAGGAAATTTTCTTTGTGGGTTACCAGGGATGGAAGGGAAGAGAAGGGG